GTCCTTAGTAAGGTGCTTTGATCGTTCAACACCAGGCAAAATGGTGCTTGACAATGTTTTGCAACCCTTGTAAAGAGCACCAGTGAACTGTTATTCCAACCTTTCTCACATTTACAAGTACTAACCTTATTATCCTGTTCAATTATCTATCACAGGCACCTGATGAAGAATTTGAAGAATATTTAAGGCATCTTATTGGTGAGAAGTGCACAGGGGATAGGAATGAGGTAATGCAAAATTAAATTGTTTCTGAGGTTCATGCCTTTGAGGTAGTATAAAATTCGAAAAAATAATGGTAAGATGTTTTTAGTATTAGCATATTAGTGTCTTAATTTGATAAGGAAAAGAAATAGTGCATCTTGATGAAAATAAAATGATGACATCTTACATCACTTGGTGAATTGTATGAATGGGGATGTTTCTGAGAAAATTTAAGACGTGTCCCATATACATGGCAGTTGCCTACTTTCGGCAGTGGGATGTTGAACTGGTATTTCTTGGAAGCCATTATTGTGAAGTTGGGAGAAATGAAAGACACGCCTGCATCTAACAATATTTAGATTCTTTAATTTGCGATAGAATTTTTCTTCTTTTTGGAATGTGGGGAGTTAGAATGCGATATAATACTCTGTGCCTGCTAATATTTTCTCCTTTTTTTGGGATCAGATGGCACAGTTGCCTGAGGGTATCACCGAATTGCTGCATCATGAACAGCTTCTCGTGCCTTTGGTAGGTTGCATGTGATCTGTTTATGTAATTTTTCTTTTTCTGCTTATACATTGATACCCACTGCAAGTTATTTCAAAAATGTGCTTTTGGAGCATTTTATTGCTATATAATTTTGTATGTCCACACCATTTTCATTGTACACAAGGCATGTTTTCAGTATTTTGTATGTCCACACCATTTTCATTGATACCCATTTTTTTTTTTTAGTGACTTTTGTTGCTGAGTAAATTTTTTCCTTAATTTTGGTAAATAATTTTGTCCTTCAATGTGTTGCTACAGGTCCATTTCTAAGTCCTCTAGCTTCTGTGTTGAGAACGGATGAAGGGGAACTCAGATATTTTTGGAATAGCTTGTTGGTCCTATAAGCAAACTCAGATATTGATCCAATATTTTGTAATATGTTTTTGGTCAATTGTGATTGCTGTCTATCTTTTTGAGTTGGCTAATGAAATTAGTATATTGTATTGAATCATATTTACTATTTTTGTTTATTAGAATTATGTAAAATTTTATTATTAGCTTTGTTGTAAAATCAAAAGCATTTTGTTTGTAATTATTATTAATTTATTAGGTTTGTTGGAAATTACATAATTGTTGAATTTCTTTTTTCTTTTTTTTAAAAAACTGTAAAATCACCTACGGCAACGTTTATAAAACGTTGCCGTAGGCGTGACCTTTGGCAACGTTTTATAAACGTTGCCGTAG